AATTTTTTAAATCTCATACCAAACAAGTTGTTTGGTCTTAAAAAAAAAATTCAAGATATGATTATGAGATATGTTTTTAGAAATAATGAATTTTTTTAAATAGAATACCAAACCGGCCCTGACATTCTGCATCCTCAAGTTTTTTGTGTAATTGTAACCTCAATCCCTTACACAAACTCTTATTGTAGTTGTAATTTCATATATCCATTAGTTAATTGTCAATTTGACTGTTAACTAATGGTATGCCTACTGCGGATCTCATATTTTTGCTAATGTGCTTGTCAAATTTTTCCATGTGGACAAACGGCGAGATCACCGGCGTTGGAAATGAGATATTTTCATGGCTTAGTACCGCCTTCTATAGTGGTCGATTGGGGCGAAACTTGGGTGGGTTATGCTTGGCTTGAAGAGAGTTGAACCTAAGTGGTGGCATCGCCTTAAACTGTCGTAATCGGCCTAAAAATTGGTCAAAAAAACTCCCAAAAGACCGGGGTCATAGACCGTGTCAACTTGAAACTTCTCTTCTTCTACAGTACAAAAGGCCAACTTCATTGTTGTGATCCAGAACGAGAAGATAGCGGAACAGGGTTCACATAAACGAATTGGTTTCGTTAGGGTGCAATGGAGCGTACTACAATCTGATAAAACTACAAACTGGAAGCTCACCTCCAAGGTGAACCAGAGAAATGCTAACAAAGTATTTGAGCATGTTGCATTGTGATATGTAGATTGCCTTTGTATAGTTACCTCAAATTTTATTAAATATGAGAAGGAATTTGAATGTAGGTTGTACTTTACATAGCATATGAAGATAATATTATACACATAGGCTTGATATAAGAAATCCCATTGCAATTTGTATCCGTGTTATGAGAAATTATTTTATACTTAAATCCAACCCATTAACTTATCGTGTCAAAATAGATAAACTCAAACTCATTTACAAATTTAAAGTGTCGTGTCATGCTTACTCACTGTTCTCTCTCTCGTCAAGTCAACTAATCAACAAAATAATATCGAGTTTTGTATAAATAAAAATAAAAATCTTCTAAAACTACAAAAACTTCAAGTGTAACACATTACATAACCAAATCTCCAAACATATCATATGTCACTATCGTGCGAAACTGTGTCAACTTATTATGAACTCGACTCTGTAAGGTTTAACCCAAAACCATTTTCCGGGTATATTTGCATCATATAATTTAATTAACTCATCGTATATAATTTTGCCAGGTCTACTAACAAGCACATAAATTCATGGTCAAATACCAACCTAATGTTCATAGTACTATTTTAAGTAAAGTAGTGTTACACTTATCATTTGCTTGCACCATCACTTGTATTATCTTTCTATTAAAAGTAAGGTCTACCAACGCATATTGATCTCATCTCTATTATTTATTTTTCTTCCTGAGCTTCATTATTATTTATTTCCAACCCATTTATTTACCCACTCACACACACACACACACACACACACACACAAGGTTTTAAAAATAAATGGTATATAAATAGAAACATATTCGACAGTGCTGTGGACTTGGGTTGGACCAATTGACCAGGTCAGTGCGTTTGGAAAAATAAACAACATTGCGGTGTTACAAATCTCGGTCCTTGGGTGAGCAGGATTGTGAATTGACTAATATTACATTGTCTACAGTCGATCACCAAAAATTGAATAGAAAATATTTTTGGTACAAAAAGCTGGGACTAATATCTTCCTTCCTAATTTAAAAAATAGCACTGAATGCAAATCAACAAAATAAAAATAAATCACAAAAATTTGAGCAATCAATTTACGCATGGACTTGTATTCTTGAGTCGTTGATGGTAAAAACTTAGCAATTTCCTTGGAGTTGTGTGTAAGGGTTTTTTGCTTCATTATTTAAAGGGATTGGTCTTCTTCTACCAGACTTCTTGGAACCTTCCTTCAATCCTATTTTTAAATCACTCAAAAACATCCAACTACATTTTTTATATTTTATATGAAACTTCAATAAAGTGATAATTAAATCTTGGATAACTTAGGGTAAATGTTTGGTATTATATTTGAATTCAGTTTTTTTAACTCAAAAACACTTTTTTTAAGTTTTAAGCTTTAAAAACTTATTTGGTATGACTTTTTTAAAAAACTGAACTCAAACTTAACTTAAAAAAATGTATATTCTCTAAAAACATCAAAAATGAGATTTTTAGGGTTTTTTAAACTTAAAACTCACTTATTTATTTTCTCTCACCTCCCTTCTTATTTTGAATCTCTCTCTCTTTTCTTCTTTCTTTCTCTTTCCCTCTCCTCTAATCCGCTCTTTTCACTCTCTCTCTCACTCGTCCACTTTATCTCATCTGACCCTCTTTCTTCTCTCTCTCTTTGATTTATTTCTCCGGTTTAAGTTTTAAGATTTAAAATTTTTAAATCTCATACCAAACAAGTTGTTTGGTCTTAAAAAAAATTCAAGATATGTTTCTGATATATGTTTTGAGAAATAATGAATTTTTTTAAATAGAATACCAAACCGGCCCTGACATTTTGCATCCTCAAGTTTTTTTGTGTAATTGTAACCTCAATCCCTTACACAAACTCTTATTGTAGTTGTAATTTCATATATCCATTAGTTAAATTGTCAATTTGACTGTTAACTAATGGTATGCCTACTGCGGATCTCATATTTTTGCTAATGTGCTTGTCAAATTTTTCCATGTGGACAAACGGCGAGATCACCGGCGTTGGAAACGAGAGATTTTCATGGCTTAGTACCGCCTTCTATAGCGGTCGATCGGGGCGAAACTTGGGTGGGTTATGCTTGGCGTGAAGAGAGTTGAACCTAAGTGGTGCATAGCCTTAAACTGCCGGAATCAGCCTAAAACTTGGTAAAAAAAAATGGCCAAAAGACCACGTCATAGACCGTGTCGAACTGAAACTTCTCTCCCTCTACAGTACAGAAGGCCAACTTCATTGTTGTGATCCAAAACGGGAAGGTAGCGGTACAGGGTTCACTTAAACGAATTGGTTTCGTTAGGGTGCAATGGAGTGTACTACAATCTGATAAAACTACAAACTGGAAGCTCACCTCCAAGGTGAACCAGAGAAATGCTAACAAAGTATTTGAGCATGTTGCATTGTGATATGTAGATTGCCTTTGTATAGTTACCTCAAATTTTATTAAATATGAGAAGGAATTTGAACGTAGGTTGTACTTTTACATAGCATAAGAAGATAATATTATACACATAGGCTTGATATAAGAAATCCCATTGCAATTTGTATCCGTGTTATGAGAAATTATTTTAAACTCAAACCCGACCTATTAACTTATCATGTCAAAATAAATAAACTCAAACTCATTTACAAATTTAAAGTGTCGTGTCATGCTTACCCACTTTTTTCTCCCTCGTCAAGTCAACTAATCAACAAAATAATATCAAATTTTGTATAAATAAAAATAAAAATCTTCTAAAACTACAAAAATTTCAAGTGTAACACATTACATAACCAAATCTCCAAACATATCATATGTCACTATCGTGCGAAACCGTGTCAACTCATTACGAACTCGACTCTGTAAGGTTTAACCCAAAACCATTTTCCGGGTATATTTGCATCATATAATTTAATTAACTCATCGTATATAATTTTGCAGGTCTACTAACAAGCACATCAATTCATGGTCAAATACCAACCTAATGTTCATAGTACTATTTTAAGTAAAGTAGTGTTACACTTATCATTTGCTTGCACCATCACTTGTATTATCTCTCTAATAAAAGTAAGGTCTACCAACCAGTGGCGAAGCTACATAGGGGCGAGGGGTGGCTGTTGCCCCTCAGCTCGCCGGAAAACAAGCCTGGGAGCGCCTCTTTGGTTTGGTCGGAAACTGGAAAGTATGGTGGTTTTCTGGCGTTTGTTGCTGTGCAACGCCCCTGCGTGCTGCAGGATTTGCTTTTATATAAAAATAAATTATTAACTAAAACGACACAGTTTTACAGCTTCATTAAAAAACAATAATAAAATATTGTGTGGACCCCTGGTTCCCATTAGCCATCACCCCTTTCAATTTCCCATCTCTCACTCACACTTTACCAAACAAAACAAATCCCGCAATTCCTAGCTTCCATTTCAATCACCAACCGTCACGCCATCCTTCCCAATTTTATGTAAATTTTTTATTTTCTAAATTTATATATTATTTCAAACCCTAATTAATTATTCAATACAATTTTTTCTTTAATTAGTGTAGAATCATATGATAATACATTAATATGGTTATTGATTATTGATATGAATTCTATGATTATTGATCGCAAAGCAATTCATAGACACTCTTCAAAATGATTATTGTTAACCTAAAGACCACATCATTGCCAAGAAAAGCTAGCAACAATGTTTTATTACGGTCAGGATCAATGGTTAAATGATAATATGATTGTTTACATTGAGATACATGTATTTGCTTTTATTGACAATAATCTATTATGCACATTTTTATGACATGAAAACCTCGTTAACAACAATTGTAATTTGGTTGTTGCCCTTTTTTTTTTTTTAACTTTGCACTTTTTAAGTTCGCCCCTCTCCTCGGCAATTCCTGGCTTCAGCACTGCTACCAACACATATTGATCTCATCTCTATTATTTATTTTTCTTCCTGAGCTTCATTATTATTTATTTCCAACCCATTTATTTACCCACTCACACACACAACTCCTTAACTCCAGGTTTTTAGAATAAATGGTATATAAATAGAAACATATTCGACAGTGCTGTGGACTTGGGTTGGACCAATTGACCAGGTCAGTGCGTTTGGAAAATAAACAACATTGCGGTGTTATAAATCTCGGTCCTTGGGTGAGCAGGATTGTGAATTGACTAATATTACATTGTCTACAGTCGATCACCAAAAATTGAATAGAAAATATTTTTGGTACAAAAAGCTGGGACTAATATCTTCCTTCCTTATTTAAAAAATAGCACTGAATGCAAATCAACAAAATAAAAATAAATCACAAAAATTTGAGCAAAATCAAAACCAGGAAATTGGACAAAACCCCCACCTGCCCAGAAAAGAAACCAATCAGGTGATGGTCTGGTGCAGCAGAGAGCTTGATATCCTTCTCGCTGACTTTCGCACCGGAGTCATTGACCAGCACGTCAGCCCCAACATTCAGCCTGTGCCTCTTGGTCTTCCAAAATATGATCTTGAACCTCACAGCAGTGGCCAAATCCACCCTGAAACTCACACTCCCATTGGGATGGACCCCACTGGACACCGCCGTCCAGTTGAGCCCCTCTTGGGGGCCCACGATCACCTTCTTGGTGGCCGTCTTCTTGCGGCCCTGGTAGAACCGGGGCACAGCAGAAGTTGCTACGGGCATGCTGGTGGCATTGGGCAGCAGCCGGAAGGTGAGGTTGACGGCGTCATAGTAAACTCCCTTGTCACTGTTGGTGTTTTTGAGCCGGAGAGCGACGAAGAGGGTGGTGTTTTTGGTGTCGTTTAGTGTCCGATTGAGGGCAGGAAGGTAAAATGAGTGGATGGTGCACTTGGGGTTGGAGGTGCGCAGGCTCAGCCACATGGAGAGGGCTGTGAGGCCGAGGGTGAATATGAAGCTGAAGCAGCAGCCGCAGAACCCGCCTGATGGATCCGCCATGTTTGTTGTTAGAGAGAGAAATGCGAAGAGGGTTATGAGAGGAAGAGTGGGAGAGAGAGAAAGGATTGGAAAAACTATTATTGATACTCTTGGTAACTTCACTTGGTGTTGATTTTGGTCTTCATCAAAGTCTTTGGTCTTTATTTAATCTTTACAAAGTCTTTGGCACTATTCGTGTTTATTTACAGAACTTTAACGAAAATTTCCGGTAATTTTCATTTTAATAAAAAATTATATTTTTACATTAAAAAGTCAATCCTGGTACTATTTACTTTACCTTTTATTTTGTCTTTATCATTAAACTCAAAGTTTTCAAGCTATTTTCATTAGTTTTCCTTTATTTATGTTCTCCTAGTGTGGTGATATTATGATGTATACGCTCTTGTAACAATCTCACTTGTCGCATGGTCGAGTATTACGCAGAGAAACAAATATGCATACACAACGTTTCAATAAGGCTCTTGGAGTCTGAACTAAGGAAAAATTAGTATCCGATCTTCACTTACTAATGTTCATTGACTGAAACCTTATTAGTTTTCAGATTTTGATCGAAGTCCCTAGGATTAATGCAATAATGAATTTACATGTCAGTTACATAATTTTTAAAATAAAAATGAATAATTGATTTAGTATTTTATTACTTACATCTTTATAAATTCCTAACTAATTTTCAATTCAAAACATTTCTAAAAAAAAATTAAAAAATTAAAAAAAAGTTTGTACCCCTGAATTTTTTATAAAAAGGTTTTGAAACTTTTAATCTTATATGTACCCATTCATGTAATTTTTCAATTTTTTAATCTTAAAATGTATCCATTCTTAAATATACCAATTTGTTGTATGTAAAATGTACCATTTTATTTATATAAAATCTTTTCAATTTTTTTTAATCCATTTTTAAACTTATACGGGTACATTTTTTTTCTTGATTTGAGAATGTATCCATGTCAAGTTTAACCGAAGAAATTTACAAATATTATTAAGCCTAATATCTACTATTTTTTGTGTGGCTTTGAAGAATGTACCCATATTTTGGTACAATAATTTTTTTTGTTAATTTTGATGAATGTAGGCATGTTTATATACATACATATATATATATGCACACAATATATTGGAGAGTTATTTTATATTTTAATATTTTTAATCCCACAAATTATAGTTTTTATATGCACACAATACATACATATATATGCACACTGATTGTATTTATCTAAGAGCATTTGTGAGGGAGAGAATGTGAGAACTTTGCTCTAGATAGGAGAGGCTTTGGGTTTGTGAGGGTGAGGAGACCCTTTTATAGAATAAGGGCTCCTCCCCTAATTACATATTTGCCCCTTTATTACATAATTACATTTAAGTCCTCCGAGTATTTATACGAAGTCTAAATACGAAGCCATAAATATGGTATAAACAATTTATTTATTTATTTAAAATCTCATTAATACAAACAACTATAAATTTTAATTTTTAATTTAAAAAATATCGTAACCTACAAATAAATACATTATCATATTAATTTCAGAGACTTCGATAAAAAATTGAAAGCAAACAAGGTTTTAGTAAAAAAATATTGATATTTAAGAACCGCATCCGAAGTGTCCCCTTAACTAAACTACTTGTCATCCTAATTGTAGAAACCCTAAAGTTCAAATAAGCAAAAGAAGCGAAAGCGGAAATAGGACGAAGAATTATGTCATACCCATACCCGACCACGAAATTGGCGTGAGATCTACATCACGGTCGAAGCCAGGATTGATGCAAACATTAATCCAGATAACCCATAGTTCAATCACCACATGAATATTCCTTTTGTACATTCGACCCTAACAAATGTCTACATATATGCTTATTACGTAACCGAGCGCAATGACATTCTAGAATTCATATAGCCGACCCCACTTAATGGGAAAATGCTTTGTTGTTGTTGTATCTTTCCTAGAACTTGTATAACATATTAGGACTATCTTATATGAAATAACAACCAAAAACCTCCAGATTTCCAATGAGCTAAGAGGAAGAGAGGATAAATTCTTGTAAAGACTAGCAAGGTGTGAGTCGCGTGCTGAACATTTTTTGTGAAGCTTCTCTAAGATTTCACATGGACCGTCTAATTGGTTGGAGACTTAAAGCATAGACTTTAGTTTCTACCAAGAGAATCCAGATGAGTAGTGACTAATAGAATCTTGAAAGACCAATATTGAAAAACGCACTAAATACTGAAAAATACTGAATTTATTTATTCGAAAAGCAAATAAATATATAAAGGGCTGGTGTCTTTCACAGTAAGGGTTACCTTTTTTCCCCGACTACATTATCAGCATAACTGAGTTACTATTAAAAGATCAAACCTTTGATGACAAGCTTGCTTCAGCCTCTTTCTGACCTTTTTCCTCCTCAAACTTGTTTATAGCCACTTGTAATTCATCGGTACCTCCAACAGCTCTCATGGTGTAGAAATATACTCCAAAAACAAAAGCTGAAAGTCCCCCAGCAACTATAGCATTCTTTGTTTTAGGTGCAAGGCTCCTAAATCCTGACATCCCAGCCATCTAATAGCAAAACTCTACAGCAAGTTCAGCTTTATGCTTCCAATCTGCAAATCCGAAAAGAAAAAGAAAAGAATAAACTACAGCAAGTTCAGCTTTATGCTGCCAATCTGCAAATCCCTAATTAGCAAGTTCAGGCTAAAGAAGACACCATAGCGTAGTGCTCTCTCTTCTTTTTCGGTTTTGTATGGAAAGATGATTCCGCCAAGCAATTTAAAGGGCAGAGAAAATATATGTACATCAAATATCAAACAGTAGGGGAACATTAAAACAGGAGCCAAAATTTTTCCCTTATAACCAATTGCCAATTAGGGATCCAAAACGATAAATTAAGATTAAGGGGGTGCAAAATCAATATCAAGCACACTGAAAATACATTTTCGAATGACTAATACAAGGAAAATGTAATTTACAGCCAAACTTTGCGTTACTTCAATATTTACAAGGTGAGTTAATTTCAAGGAAAAAACATAATAAAGGATCTAATGGATATGTAATGCACTTTCCCGGCCTATGTTAGATAGTCAATGTAATATTTGCAAATTGAGTTTTACATTCAAAACAAACTATAATGAGGCATAAGATTGATGCAGGAGAGTAATCTTTGAAAAGTGATTTTATGAACACAATGCTCAATAGTCCAAAAACCCTTTTCCACTACATACACAAGTTCCCAAAAGACGGGATAGAGTAGTGAAAAAACTTTTGAAGTATCCTTTAGCTCAAGAAGTTAAACAACTTTCAACCAAGACTTCCACAGTTTTCCAACGCTTCAGGAAACTGGTTGGAGAAGGGCTGGACCTCTCTTGGTTGACTGAAGGCCCTACTTCTCTTCCCCAAGATCATGGACTCTGATCATGGAGGGTAATAGGCAACCGCAAAGTCACTAAATGAATTCCCGAAAAAATGTTTAACTTTCTATACCACTAGAAAAAGAGGCTGCAGGGAAGGATGAACAACCATTTAACTGCCCCAAAGGCTTCTATGGCCTTCTTGCCGTGCTTACTTAGCACTTGCTATAAGGAACAAAGAATAGATAAGGTCGACAACATAACGATCAACTCCTACCCTACTAATCTACTGTATAGTAGGGTATAGTAGGCGAGTGAGTTAGCATCTTACTTGAATTAAGAAAGACAGACTCTTTGGCAAAGACGTGTTAAAAAAAAAACCTGGGATTATAGAATGATAATCTGTCACTCTTGGACAGAGGTGCAAAAGCTCTCATGAGGGAAATCTCCTATTTTATCTATTGATGAGACAAAATGAACGCAAGTAGGCAAACAGCAGGGAGTTGTCCCAGTGAAAGTCATGTCACTTCCTCCTCCACTAATAATAACGTTCTTTTGAAGCTTTAGACCACATAACGAAGCATGGAATCTAGCTTAACTATTAGTTTTCATGCTGTAGCAGGTAAAATTCATACCAAAACTTAAAAACACACAAAATATAGCCTTGTCAATATCAACTAGACTTTCTCTACCGGAGTCCGTTATTGCATTTACAGTGTTTAAGAACAGTATATGGTATCCTTATAGCATAAGCTTAATCAAGATTGAAACTTTGCATGGATATGACTACCACTACTCCGTTTCTTTCAGTTTGTACAAGCTCAAGGATGGTAGTTCGCGAAAAAAACTATCAAGAACACCTAAACTTTCAAACTCCACAACCTTCTTGCGATTTCCCAACTTGGATTTTAGTGTAAACAATAACACCTAAAGGCATTCTTATTTACAAAACGAAAAGGAACACCTAAATTTTCAAATTCTACTACCTTGTTGCAATTTTCCTGACTCTGGTTTTTTGTGAAAAGAGTAAATGGATTTTTTTTATTTATATAACAAGAAAAAGAACACCTACCTTTCATCTGCAGGAACAACTTTAACCTTAAACCCTGTATGAGTTTCTAATCTATAAAATCCAGTTTGAAGAACAATTCAATCCCAACTTCTATAAATTCCCAATAATCTAAAGGTTAATGACAACACCAAGAATTCAACTTGCCCCTGATTACATTAACTTTCGGTAAAAAGCAATCAAATTTTGGGATTCAGGATTCGAACCTCCATGCCAACGTTCCAAATTTTCAAACAAACAGGGCAAATATTTCTAACAATATTGATCACCATTTTCAACATGATTCAAACCCAAAATTTGAAATCAACACAAATAGAGAGAGAGAGAGAGAGAGAGAGTACCTGAAGGTAAAATCGACCGAGATGGAGAGAGAGGTAATCAGAGAGTCTATCTACCGTGTTCTTGTTTTAGGCTGTTTCGTTAGGGCAGTATGGTATTTCCATTCCGAATTTGGGCTTTTGATCTTCCATTCCTATTTCGGCCCGTTTCAGTTCCTTAAGAGCAACTCCACCCTTGTGGATTGCTTAGGGGACAGGCGAGAGAAGAAGGGCCCGAGGCCCTATGGATTTACTCTAGCGTGAAGGAGCCCGAGCAGAGGTGGAGGCCTGAGCTCCGGGCCTATTAAGAGTTGACAGCCCGAGTTGCGAGCCTTTTTTTAATTTTTTTTCTATCAGGCGCGTGCACCCCACTTGAGCGTGGGGGCACGTCGGCCCACAACTTTTTAGAAAAAACAGAAGCCTTTTCAGACTTCAATGTTACTGTTGGGGAGCCACGTGGCTTCCCACGGTCCGTTCGATCTCAACGGTTATTTAACTTGGACCGTTCGATCTCAACAGTAAAAAAAAATAAAAATCTTATTTAATATTGTTTGTACCATACTTAGGGCCTTCGTATTTAGATCTCGTATAAATACTCGGGGGACTCAAATATAATTATGTAATAAATGAAGGGGCAAATATGTAATAAGTGAGGAGCCCTTATTCTATAAAAGGACACCTCACTCTCCTCATTAAGGGAGGCCAATTCTTAGGCCTGAGATCCCCAGAGCCTTACTCTCACATACAGGCTCTCTCTCTCCCTCACAATCCTCTTAGAGAAATACAATATCAGTGTGGACGTAGCCCAAACATTGGGGTAAATCACGATACATCTTGTGTTATTTACATTCTTGCAGATTCACAGTCGAATTTACGTTGTTCCAAGACCTTCCAGTTTTGTGCATCAACAAATATCAACCGTTCGATCTGAGATCAACGATCGAAATTAATATTCTTTATAAATAAATAAATAAAACGAAAAAATAGTTTTAAAATTAAGAAAAGTTACCGTTGTGACACGTGGCACAATCTGAAGTGTTGGAATTCAATTTTTTTTAAATCTAACGGCAGAGATTAGTTATTTGAATAAAAAAATTGTAAAAAAAACCGAAAAAATACCTGAAATTTTAAAAAAAAATGTTTCTACTTTTCTATAAATACCTTTTTATTATCATCTACCTTACACCACAATTTCATATGTTCTCAACTACTTTCAATCACATTCCTATCTTTCTCTTAAAGTTTCAATCCAATTTTTTTCAACAAAATGACTACTGATGCAGGTACGAATTGGACGTCTCTTGAAGATGTTGCATTGTGTACTAGCTGGGTTGAAGCTACTCATAGTTCGCGTACGGGTAATGAGATGCAGTTTCAAGAAATGTGGAGTCTTATTCATATCAATTATCTTGAGAAAATGGGTGGGAGTAGAACCAAAGAATTGATGTCTAGTCATTGGAAATTACTTAGCCAATCGTTTACTATTTGGAGAGACGCATTGGCACAAGCTAGTAGTAATATTCGCAGTGGGGAAAATTACACGGATCAGGTAACAATATATTATTTATTTGTTTGTACTATACCCAAATTTAAATTGTAATTATTTGTTTGTATTATTTATTTGTTACCAACTTTAATTATAATTATTTGTTTGTATTATTTGTTTGTTACCAATAATTTGTTGTCACAACCTGTCCAGGAAATGTACATTATTTTGTTATCATTGATGTGAAAAGACTAAAATGCCCTTGAGCGTTTGTGGCATTGTGGGACTATGTATGGTTGAGGACCAATGTGTTAAGTTCCTATTATTTTGGAACCAATTGGAAGTAAGGAAAATGGGTTGTTTTGATTGGTAACCCAAAAATCTGGACCACACATCCTGTCTCTCTCTCACTCCCCCGTGCTCTCTCTTCTCTCTCTCTTGGTTTCACTCTCTCTCCTTCAAAATGGTATGGACAAGCACCCAAGACCCTTGAAACTTCACAGATCGTGGACAAAATTAGTACCATTGTGTTCGTGAGGACCGTATGAGTTCAAAGGTACCCATTTCAGGTAAGAACTCGTTCGATATCACGTTAAAAATTCAAGCTCCGAGTTGAGCACTATTCACAAACTTTTAAATGGTTATGTTTTAGGACAATCCAAGCTCATACGAGCTTAGTGAGGTCCTAAGGAAGCTCGGAGTGCTTCGTTTGAAGGTTTTGGACGTCGGGATCGTGTGGACGAAGTTTGGCCGATTTTCTTAGAATTCTCCAGTGAGATCCCGTGACTTTTAGAGCTTTAAATTAGTATGATCGTGTTCTTCAAGTTAAGAGCTTCATTTTGGTATAAATTGCGTGAAAAATAGTGCAAAAACGAGTGAGAAAAAGGCAGTTGCAGGTCTACCTAGAATCCAGCGTCGGCGACACTATTCTAGCGTTTGGAGGTTGAAGATGATGAGCGTGTTGTGCCCTCCCCGGCGCGTGGGGGCGCGTGAGCCACCTAAAAATTTATCTAAAAATATCACGATGTTCGTGAGGTTGTGTAGGTCATGTTGGTATATTTAACTACCAAAATTGAGCAATGTATGAGAAGTTATTAGCTAGTTTTTGCTTATGTGCTTTAAAATAACGTTTTTTAGTTAATTCGCATATAGATAAGACTTATCCCGAGGACGAGCGTATCCACGGGCGACTCGAGTGCTACGACCCTTCGACATACCAGTGAGTGGGCTTTTGTTTTCAGTATATATTTATATACTTGATATATTTCCCAGAAATGCATTTTTAAGGAAAGTATGCTTTGAAATAATATGCCAAATGCTTCTATATTTAGAATATGCATTGCATGGTTGCATATATATATATATGTGGTGATGTGGAGGCACA